AGCCACAAGCCCTGGAGGGGCAGCAGGGATGCAGCAGGGTGGCCGTGCCGTGAGCCTCCTGGACAGAGGCATAGCTTGTGCATGGCTACATTTAGGGGGGTCATGCAGCGTATCCAGGGGGACCCAGGGCAGCCGTGGCCGGCAGCCCAAAGCTCCCAGCCCTGCTGTCTCACACTGAGGCCCCTCTGCTTGCAGACACTGACGAGTGTACCAGGTTCCCCTTTGTCTGCCCCAGGCACAAGCCCATCTGCATCAACACCTACGGCGGGTACCGCTGCCGCAGCAACAAGCGCTGCAGCCGGGGCTTCGAGCCCAACGAGGACGGCACAGCTTGCGTGGGTGAGTGATGGCTGGGATGCCCTGACCCCGTGCCACAGCAGCCTGGCCAAGCCAACGGCCAGCAGCCCCAAAGTACCACCTTGGGATGCTATTGCACCCCTGCCAAAGGCCTGGCCGCATCCTGTAACTTGCCGTGTGGCTGCCCAGCCACCGGCACCCCAGCTGCGTATCTGTTCATCCTGCGCCTCCCGGTGAGCCGTCACTGACTCCCCTTCTCTCTTTCTCTCTCTTTTTCTCTCTTGCTCCTTCTTTCCTTCTCTGTGCAGCTCAAGTGGCCTTTTTTGGGGGATACCCCTCTGCCGGCAGCTGGCCTGGGCCCCCGCACCGTGCCCTCCTCCCTCTAGTCCTCGGACTCTGCCTTTGCCTCTATGCACTTTAACCCCTGCCCGTAACATGCCAGAGCAGCCTTGGTGGAAGGACTGGCCGGCCTCTGCCTGTCTCTCTTTTTCTCTCTTTCTCTCCATGTTGAACCGCCCTGGAAGCGCTGGCTGTGCCCTAGCGGGGCAGCCTGCGGTGGGACGGGCACGGAGCCCGGCTTCCCCTTGCACCGTGCCTGGGGAAGCAGCCCCGGGGCAGCGCCCCTTCACCGGCACCTGCTGCCCCAGCGCTGCTCCTGCCACCCCGGCGCCTCCCAGGCGGTCGCTTGCTCCGTCGCCTTGATACCGTACCATGTGCCTGCTGGTTTGGCCTGCGACGTGTGTGCTTCGCCTGCCCCCTCCTCGGTGATGGGGACCCCCCTCCCCAGCCCCAGCAGAGGAGGGTCCCCCCGGCCCCGCAGGGGAAGGACCCTCCTGGTCTGTTTTTTAATGTATTGACCCCACTGTTTGGAGTCGGACCCTGCTCAGTCTTCCGGAAAACCCCCCCCCAATAAACTATATCCTGTCTATTAGCCCGGCCTGCTGAGCTGTGCTGGGCAGGGCTGTGCCCATGCTTCTGCCCACCCTGCCCTGGGGCTGCATGGGGAGGGGGTTTGGCAGGAGGGGGCACCCCCAGCATCCCCCAGCTCTCCCTGCCCCAGGGCCAGGAGCTAGCCGGAGGGTGCATGGTAGACCTGGGCAACCCTGTCGCTGCCCAGGCCTGGGAGCACAGCCAGATGTGCAGCACTGGAGGGGATGGGGTGCAGCAGGCAGCCCTGCCCACGCAGCAACAACATGGCCATGCCACCTTCCCGCCACGTGCCGTAACCCTGTGCCACTCTCTTCCCCACCACCAGACATCGACGAGTGTGCCCAGGGCTTGCACAACTGCAGCCAGCTCTGCACCAACACCCCTGGGGCACACGCCTGCCACTGCCGCCCGGGCTTCCACCCCCTTGATCCTGCTGCCAGCCAGTGCCGGGGTGAGTACCTGCCGGCAGCGGGGCTGACCGCCCACGGTGCCCACCCACCGGCCACTGCCAGGCGCAGCCGTGCTGCCCCGGGAGCAGAGATGCTGTTTCCTGGGGTGCCCTGTTGTGCTCACAGCCCTGATCCCGACCAACCCAAAACATGGGGGGCAGGATGGACAGACTGCGGCTGTGCAGGAGTTGATGGAGCAAGGCGGCATCTGCCACCTGACAGCCTTGGGGACAAGCGGTGGCAGGACCACAGCTGCGTGGCTGCAGGCATTGGAGATGCCTTGGTGTCCCAGCTTCGCCCAGCCCCGCAGCCACCCCTGCCCTGCCCCCT